CGCATGGGCTTGCACCATTAGTGAGACAAAAAATGTCAAGGATTAGAGTCCAGTTGGTCAGATACAGGAAGCTATCCACATGCCAAAGAAAGGAGGCAAAAACACGCCAATTCCACAAGCGACATCCCACGGGGGCCTGCCTTGGCAGGAGCAGGGCGAAGTTGTGCACTCGCTCCCATTCCCCCTTTTCGGGCACCGCAGCGGTCCTTCAGCGGCGGCGGCGGGGGGTGGGTGGGGTGTCAGTCCAAAGACAGGCCTGCTGGGGCAAGGGAGACCTGGTTCCAACCTCGACTCCAGCCAGCCTCCCTCACAGAGCCGTCGCAACCACCAACTGGGAGCAAAGAGCCACGTATGCCACCCTTGGCTCCCCGACGGCAGGGCAGGGCAGGGCAGAAACGGGCACGCTGTGCTGCAGGCTTCCCAAGCGATCACGGAGTCAGACGCTGCACTGCAGAACTCTCCCCCTCCCACATGCACCCCCCAATAAAGGGAGCCTGGGTGGGTGGGGGGGAAGTCAGACACATTTCGAAAGGGGAGGGGGAAGAGGCGTCAGTGGTGAGGGGGAAGTCTGCCGGGGATTCGGGAGAGGGTGGGCTGGCCTCTCTTGACACTGGCGGGGTCGATGCAAAGACCACACCCAGGGAAAGGAGAAGGAAACTGACCACACCTTCCGAGAGGCGGCTGAAGGGCACGCTGGCGTCTGCAAGGGGTGCCCCCTCGCGACTTACGTGAACGGGGAGCTTCTCGGGGGGTGGTGCTGCTGCCGCCGCCCCTCCTCCTCCTCCTCCTCCTCCGCCACCACCGCCACCTCCTCCTCCGCCTCCTGCTGCTGCTCCCGCGCGGCCCCCCAGCCTGGCGGTGCCGCCACCCCCCCGTCCTCCCCCTCCCCCGGCCGCCATGTTGGGACCCCTCCTCCCCGTCCGCCGCGGCCGCGCGCACCGAGCCCACTGGCGCCTTGCGTCACCGCGCACGTCGCCTGCTGGCGGCGCACGGAACTTTCGCGAGGGATGGGGCAGGGAGGCAGCCGGACGGGGAAAGACGAGGACCGGAAGGGGCGGAGCGACTCGCACGGGCCTCCGAGGGGAAGCCCTCGGGCTTCCGGTGTTTGGGAGCGGGGAGGGCGGAGGCCGCTCTGGTTTAAGGCTCTGGAGGTTTCCCGACTGTCGGTTTCGTTCGCTTGCGTGCCGATAGGGACGGTCACCAAGGCAGATGACTGCGGGCCACGAGGTGGACCTAGGAGGGAGGCAGCGTGGGGTGGAAGGGGAGACCCCAGTAGGGATCGGCTGCCTGCCACAGATGGTCCGCAGGCAAAAGACTGTTTTGGTTTTATTTATTTAATTAATTAAATTTTAAACCGTCCTCCCCTGTGAGAACAGGGCTCAGGGCAATGTACAGCACAAGACATATTCATAGCATACAGAAGTTAAAACAATTTAAAACACAGTAGAACAACGGCCTGAACGATGATGCTAAAATAGCCAAAGGTGTATGTTTTAATGCGACAACCCATTCTGACTGGTAGCTTGAGGTATTTTGATGATCATCAAGATGACCAATTTCAAATTTTAAAGCCCTGTTGGAAAACTAATAAAGTCCCCTATAAATGATTAAGACTACTAATGACATTTCTTTTCAGTAACACAAATTTACTTAATACCCAGTTGCAGCGGATAAAACTCACATACAATGTGACTCCGTTATCATAGTATGTAATAGTTGAGGACGTCTTGTTTCAGCACACAAAAGTTTATACCTTGAATAAAACTTTGTTCATCTTAAAGGTGCTACTGGACTCAAACTTTGTTCTGTGGCATATCAAAATGAATTCATGCTATGGCTCATTGGAAGGGCAAAAGAATAAGCTGCAACTGACTATTATAATTTAGGTGACTATTTGGAGAAGAACAAAGAAGATATTGGATTTATACCCCGACCTTCACTTGGGAGTCTCAGAGCAGCTTACAAACTCCTTTCCCTTCCCCTCCCCACAACAGACACCCTGTGAGGTAGGTGGGGCTGAGAGAACAGCTCTGACAGAACTATGGCTTGCCCAAGGTCATCCAGCAGCTGCAGGTGGAGGAGTGGGGAATCAAACCCAGTTCTCCCAGATTAGAGTCCACGTACTTAACCACTACACCAAGTCTGAGATACCTGAAGAAGTGTGCATGCACATAAAAGCTTATACCCAGAATTAAACTTTGTAGGTCTTAAAGGTGCCCCTGGATCCGAAATTTGTTCTGTTGCTTCAGATCAACATGGCTACCCACCTGAATCTAGCTGGATAAAGTAAAGCACCATATGTGGTAAACCTTACAAAAACGTGGTAAAAATTGACTTTGTCTCTCATTTATGTCTTATATCACAATGGATAGACAACAAAGGGTGCATTAGTGCATTAAACAACAGTGCTTTAAAATTTGAAATCAGTCATTTGGTTCATAAGTTATAGGTCAAATTAGAAAAGGTAGGAAAAATTAGCTTTGGCCATCTTGATGACTGAGCCACAGCCCCTCTGTCACCAACAAAGAGGCATCCAGCCATAGCAATACAATTTGTATCTAGTTAGGGTTGCCAGGTCTGGGTCAGAAAATACCTGGAGACTTTGGGGGTGGAGCCAGGAGAGGGCGGGGTTTGGGAAGGGGAGGGGCCTCAGCATGGTGCAATGCCATAGAGCCCACCCTCCAAAGCAGCCATTTTCTCCAGGGGAGCTGATCTCTGTCAGCTGGAGATCAGTTGTAAAAGCGGGAGATCCCCAGGCCCCACCTGGAGGCTGGCAACCCTATATCTAGTTATCTACCTTGTTACCAGTTTTCAGCTGAGAAAGGTAGGCATGGTTCTCCTCTTGTTTTATCTTCAGAAGAATAGTGTAAGGCAGTTTACACTGAATGCGAGGGAGTGGCTTGAGGTCAGCCAGCAATGTTCATGGCAGAGTTGAGACTTAAATATGGGGATCTTGGTACAGCTCTCCTACCATTTCACCACTGTCTTTGTAGGCTGGGGCAGAGGTCAGGTTCTCCACTAGGAGCCTGCGTTGACTGATCCCACATCCACCCCCTCCCCATTTGATGAGATATTCCAAAATAATTCCATGATAATATTGAAATACCAAGAGGAAAGGGGATTCAATCAAATAGGTGGTTCCTTCCTATGCTTTATACAATCCTACAAATTTGTGAGAGCTTGTTATGGGTCGGTCTGCCTGAGGCATTTTTCTGATGTCCTGGGTGACAGCCTGGATCCTGCCGCTCTGTCTTCCGAGATGTCACTTTGCATGTTGCTTTGACATTACGAAGTGGGTCATAGAGAGGGCTGGTGGCCTGAGGACAGTGGAATCTCTCTCTGATGAGATAGCCAAGTCTTGTTGTTGCCACAAAGCCATCTGCTGTCGGCACAATCCTGGTAATACTTGTATGCACAAATTGAACTGCCAGCAGGACCCCTGTGGGAGATGCAAAGGTGTGGCCCATGTCACAACAGGTAATGCAAGTGATGCTGCACAAGATTCTCCATGTTGTATTCCTTTCCCTCTTTACATAGTCTGGTCTTTCCCCCAGGGTGTAACTATGTTTCCCCTACTGGTGTTCCTAAACTAGAAAGTAACTTCTAGAATTGCTTACCCTGGGAGACATCCCATGCAGTAATGGACTGATCCAATGATCCAGTGAACACATACCGGTCATCCTTGGAGAAGCAGGCACACAGAACACCATGTGAGAAGGAGTCTTGCTAAGAATGAGAAACAGGCATTAGAAAGGCACTCGGTTAACATAAAAGCTCACAACCAGGCAAGCGGTAACTGGAAGGGAGTGCATTTCTGCAAGTGGGCACCAGCACGCAGATGGATAGATTGTTTCCACAGAATTCCCTTCGGCTGCAGCAGCTCTTAAATGGGATGTTCTGCCTTCCCATATGCTGCTCTCTATGCAACTCCCCTCTCTGACAATCAACCCAACATTTTAAGCAAACTGTTTCTCGATCAAGCCTCCGTTTCTGCCATAGACTCCTCCTCCATGATCCCCTACCCTTTCCCAGATGTGGCTTCTCCCACCCCCGCCCCCCAGCCATGCGTCTTCTGGGCCCCAGGCCCATGCCTGTTGCTTACAGAACCCCACATAGCTTTTGAGCACACAAGCAAAAGAGGGCAAGCAAAGAGGAATCCATCGCAGGGCTTTGGTACAGATCAAGGCACTATTTCAATGGACACTGGTGGATACGGCTCGCTTGCTTGAATGAGCCTTGCTGGCTAGTGGCTAAGTTTACGCAAACTGGTCAAATGGATGATCTGCTTATGTGGCAGCTACAGAGATGCAACTGATGTGTTTGTGTTGGGGGGATGGGAGCAGGGGTTGGGATCTAACCACAGATTGCTCCATTTCTGCAGCTGGCTGGCAAGAAGCAGCCTGAGAGACAAGCCTGTAGCTACGGTGGGGCATTTCGGGGCTCCGCCCCCTCAAATGTGAGGCACGCCCCACAACAGCTACTGCCCCTGTCCCGCCTCAGCCCTCCTCCCCCTCCCTCCTGTGACATTAAAAGGGCCCTCCAGCTGATCAACAAGAGCACATGGCCCAATGATCAGCTGGAGGGCTCTTTAAATCTTGCAACCGCCCCTCTCCCCTCCTCCAAGATTTAAAGGGCCCTCCAGCTGATCAAGGGGCTGCGGTGGCTCAAGTGGTTAAGACGCTTAGCTGCAGACCAGAAGGTCAGTAGTTCAGCAGTTCGAGACCTGAGTGCCGCAAGACAGAGTGAGCTCCCGTCTCTGGTCCCAGCTCCTGCCAGCCTAGCAGTTCGAAAGCAAGAAATTGCAAGTAGATAAATAGGTACCGCTTTGGTGGGAAGGTAACAGTGTTCCATGCACCTTGGCGTCTAGTCATGCCGGCCACATGACCACGGAAATGTCTCTGGACAGCGCTGGCTCTTTGGCTTGGAAACGGAGATGAACACCGCATCCCTAGAGTTGGACTCTACTGGCTTTTGAGCAAGGATAACCTTTACCTTTACCAGCTGATCAGCAGGCCCTTAAATCTTGCAGGAAGTGGTGTGTGTGTGTTTTTTGCCAGCCGCATGCCTTCCCTGAACTCCAAGCGGCGATTTCACCACTTGCAGATCAGATGCAGGCAGCCCCCACTAGAAAAGCAGCATTTAAAGGAACCCTTTAAATGCTGTTTTTCTAGTGGGGGCTGCCCATGCCTGATCTTCCCTGGACTTCAGGGAAGGCGTGTGGCTGCCCCCTCCATCCCTCCCTCCTCCCCTTCCCCTGCTCCCCCCAAAATTTCCCCATGCCCCTCCAACCCAAAATTTCTGGCAACGGGGCTGCTGTGAGAGCTATCGGGGCTTCACGCACTTTGCTTTCAGGGGGACTGATGCTACTTTGGTACCCTGCCAAGAAGTCCATGCAAGACGGCTGCCCCGCCTGCTTGTGCCTTGCTCAGTTTGCGGTTGTCTGTGCCCTGCCTAGGGCTTGTATGTGCCACAGTAACGTCCCATCATAGCAGAAGTATCACCTTCTGAAATAACATCTTGTGCTTCCAGAGACAGAGCTCCACATCCCAGAGGCACTGGAGCGAATCCACTGAGCCACTCACAGCCCATTTCTCTCCATAGCTGGTTTTCAAGCAGGTGACTTGGTTGCCGTGTGCTTCCAAGGGGAACACCTGGGCCTGTGAGCAGTCGTAAAGGAAGAGCTCGCCACTCGTCATGCCGTACAGCACCCGGTATCCAGCCAGGAGGGCCACACTGGAGATTGCGGCGCCTGGGATCTGCGTGTAAAAGGTGTAGGTGGGGCGGTGGATCAGCGGGCCGGATCCCCCTTGCTCCATATCAAGGACCTGCACCAGGTCGTCACAGGCAATGGCCAGCTGCTCCTCATGCTGGGTCAGGGCCAGGTGGTTGATGGGCTTTTGGTTCTCCGCAGGTGGGATGCACCCAGCGTCTTGCCTGGCATCCAAGGGGAACACCAGCACAGCTCCCGAAGCCAGCCCCGCAAAGAGGAGACTCCTCTGCTCCGCCACTTCCAAGCACCGCACAGGGGCTGAGGCGTCCAGCACCTCGTCAGCCCGGCCTGTGGGAGAGGAGATGTTGTGATTGTCTGTTCAGGGAACTCCTGCCTTTGCATCTCCTGGCGGGCGCTCCAGACTCCTCTCTCCTCGCTGGGTTGTTGGGGATTGGGATTGGAATATTGCCGGGCAGGGGTCTCCAGCCTTCTTGAGCCTGTGGGCACCTTTGGGAATCTGAGCAAGGCTGGGAGGCACAACTACAAAGAGGTGGCTGCAGGACGTGGAGCCGGCCACAAAGTGGTTGGCTCAGGAGGTGGAGCTACACACACACACCAAGGAAGCCCACGGGCAAGGGAGAGGGAGAAGAGGGGTGACTTTACAAACACCCTAGGAAACAGGGGTGAGAGGAAATAAAACCACCCAACGGGCTTTTTAAACGTCATTTCTAAGAGGAGGAGGAGAGGAGAAGAAGAGTTGGATTTCTACCCCGCCCTTCGCTCGGGAGTCTCAGAGTAGCTCACAGTCCCCTCCCCCTCCCCACAACAGACACCCTGTGAGGTAGGTGAGGCTGAGTGAGCTCTGACTGAGAACTGTGACTGACCCAAGGTCACCCAGCTGGCTGCACGTGGAGGAGGCGTGGGGAATCAAACCCGGTTCTCCAGATTACAGCCCGCCGCTCTTAACCACGACACCTACATTAAACGCTATTTTAATCTGCACGGCCGATCTGGTTTCTAGTGGCCAGTCAGAAGTCCTGCGAGGCGAGACCCCCATACAGCCCTGCCTGCTTTCTACAAATACTTGGTGGGTGCCAGCCAGGAAAGGTGTTGGCAGGGTGCCTTGGCGCCCACGGGCACCGTGTTGGGGACCCTGCTGTAGGCAAAGGGCTCCTGGTGTGGTCCCTGGAGGAAGGGAGCCTGACCCACCAGGAGCCCAGAGGCCAGAGCCGAGGTGACGGCACCACCCCTGCCCGGGAAGACTCCACAGGGACAGATGTGTGGTGGGTGGCAAAGTCAACACTTACAGGATCAGGGGATTCTGTCTTCGGTTTGGATGCTGGGTGTGCCCTGACACCCCACGGGCAGGGAGAAAGGGATTCCAGGCTCATTTTACCGAAGAGCCGGGTGGCCCTTTCCCCTCCGTACTGCATTTTTTTGTCCGCGGCCTCTATAACTCACCTTCCTCCGAGTCCCAGATGACGACTTTGCAACTGTCATGGTCTTGGGGAAAGTAGACGTATTTCGCCTCGTGGGACAGGGCTGTGCGCCTCGGGCAAGCCATGAAAGGAGGCAGTGGCTTGTGCCTGCGGTCATAGCCAAGGTCCCAGACTCTGAGGTAATGGGTATGAGGAGAGGCTGACACCAGGGTGCTCTCCCAGAGGGCCAAGTGCATGATGGGAGCCCCGGTATCTCCCAGAACATCAGTCAGCAAACCCTGCTGGGATAAGCTCCACACCTAAGGGCAAGCAGCAGGGATTTCAGCTAGCAAAACAGGGCAAGCCGTTGGAAACAAGCAGGTCTGGATGCCGGCTTGCCTCTCCAGTCCAGCTTTGGAGAAGCCCTCCATGCCAGCTTTCCCAGTTGGTGTCCGTGAGGACCCCACCGGTCCCACCACCCCCACCTTTGCCACTTACCCAGATATACTCTCCACAAGAGCTTGTGAAGACAGTGGCGTTGTCCGTCGAGATGGCGGCCGCATGAACCTCCCCGTTGTGCATCAGGTCGGAGGCCAGGAGGCTGCGGGATCCTTTCGAGTCGACCGAGAAAACCCTCACGCACCGCCCAAAGCCTGGGAGAATGCAGCAGTTATCCCTGAGCTGGAAGGAGGGCTCACCCTTACCTTGGAGGCCAAGGCTCCGCCCTGAGACAAGTGCAGCATCAGAGACCATGACGGTGCCTCTGAACGCGTGCAGAGTACAGGTTTGGGCCAAGATCATGGCCAGTGCTCCCTCTAAGCTGTGGAGTCTTGTGAGCAAAAATTCTACTTTGTGAGCTCCGGGCATTGAAGTTGTGAGCGAGCGACTTGGCTACTGCATAAATTAGTTTGCTCTGGAGTCATCCTTCCTGAGCTCAGACAAAAAAAGTGTGAGCCGGAGGCTAAAGAACTGTGAGCCATCTCACACTGACTCAGCTTAGAGGGAACACTGATCATGGCACAGGGCGATGGGGTGGCAGGCGAGCCAGCAGCAGCGGTTGGTCCTTACTCATCCCCCTGCTCACTTGCCAACCCTCTCCCACCGCTGGCTTGGCGCCTGGCACCTCAGCAGCCGTCCTGGGAAGCTTCACCTTGCAGCTATAGCTGCTGCTGCCTCTGACGGCAAGCCAGGGCCAGACGCCTTCCTCACACCTCTGAATGACAGCTGAGCCCTCGGAGGAAGGGACCTGCCAGTGTTGGAAGGGGAAAGAAAGAACATACCCTCAGCGGCCTCTTCCGCCTCCCCACCACCTGCCCCTTGGCGAAAGTGGCCACGCTAGCCTAGGCATCTGCCCTTGGTGGCTGGGTCCTGCTCGCCCCCAGCTGTGATGGCCTGCTGGAGCGGGAGGGAGGCGCTACCACTAGCCCATCAAGCTCGTGAGTCCCCAACCGGTGTTCCCTCTAAGCCGAGTTAGTGTGAGCTAGCTCACAGTGTTTTAGCCTCCAGCTCACACACTTTTCTCTTAGCTCTGGAAGGACGGCTCCGAAGCAAACTAATTTATGCGGCAGCCAAACCGCTCGCTCACAGCTTTAATGCCAGTAGCTCACAAAGTAGAATTTCTGCTCGCAAGGCTTCACAGCTTAGAGGGAACATTGCTCCCAACCTGGCTCTAGGAGCACAGACGCTGGACCACACTGAAGGATCCAGTGCGGGTGGCGTTTGGGTTTGGTTTGAGGGATACGTGCAGCTTGTGGGTTCTTGCATTGGATCTGGAGCAATGTTCCCTCTAAGCTGTAGAGTCCTGTGAGCAAAAACTCTACTTTGTGAGCAGGTGATTTGGCTACTGCATAAATTAGTGTGTTCTGGAGCCATCCTTCCTGAGCAGAGACAAAAATGTGTGAGCCGGAGGCTAAAAAACTGTGAGCTAGCTCACACTAACTCAGCTTAGAGGGAACACTGATCTGGAGTCAAACCTGCGGCAAGAAGACGTTCATCTTCCGAAAGCACCAGGAAGCGGATCCCCTCAGGGAGCTTCTCCAGCAGGGTGTTTCCATCCGAGGAGACCTGGAGAGGGCAGAAAGGGGGTGTGCGTGTCAGCTGGCCTCTCCCCCAACTCAGGCTAATTCTTGGCAGGCAGAGAAAAGGCCGAGGTGACTGGAAAGGCTCTGCCCGCTGGAGCTCCCAGAAGGAGGCCATGCCAAGTCCTCTGGGGTGACCAGGGCAGGAGGTACGCACCGTCAAGAGGGACCCTCTGCTGAAGCCAGCCATCATCCTGCCCAGCTTGGGGAGCAGCACGCTGGAGGTGGGAGCCTCTTCCCCCAGCCCCGCAAGCGTGTGCTTGGAGTGCAGCTGTCCTGTGCCACCGTGCCACAGGCAGAGGGCTCCCTTCTCGGACACCGTCGCGAGCACCAGCCTTGGCACAAAGACGGCTGTGAGGAGCCACCCGTCCAGAGCCTCTGTGGAGATCCGGAAAGCAGGCACTGCCGTCTCCAGGTGCCAAGCGCTGACCTGGGGATGAGACGGTGGGTCTGCTCAGAGCTCCCGCGCCTCCCACACAGACAAGATGCTTGGAAGGGCACCTGTGTCTTTTGAAGGTGGGCATCTCTGGACTGGCAAACGTGGCCGTGTGCGGAACTCGGAGAGCGGCCACTTTTGAACGGGGGCTTCCCATTCAAACCGTCTACCTCGACCTGCGTGTTCCTGCTTCTATGAATAGCTGTGAGCAGGGCTTTTTTTGTAGAAAAAGCCCAGCAGGAACTCATTAGCATAATAGGCCACACCCAACAGCAGAAACCTATTAGCATATTAGGCCACACCTCTGACAGCACAGCTCATTAGCATATTAGGCCACACCCCACACGTTACCAGAAGTGTGGTCATCCAACCACACCCACCTTTTGCTTCTTATTCTGTTTACTTTGTTGTCAAACAGGGCTCTTTTTGTAGCAGGAACTCCTTTGCATGTTAGGCCACACACCCCTAATGTAGCCAATCCTGATGAGTTTCTGCTGTTGGGTGTGGCCTATTATGCTAATGAGTTCCTGCTGGGCGTGGCCAACTCGGGAGCCAGCCGGAACTCCGTTCCTGTGCGTTCCTGCCCAAAAATAGCCCTGGCTGTGAGTTTGTATCTTGTATCTGAGGCCACTCTCTGGTGTGCGTTAAAAATCCAGGAAGTGTTCGCTGATGTGCTTTTTCAAGCCCAATGTTCATGGAGAGAAGGTGCCGGTCAGTCAGAGGAGACATGCTAGGCCCCTCAGGGGAGGGTATGCCCTGACCTGGAGGGCCCCGGGCTGGGCCAATCTCATCAGATCTCACGAGCTAAGCAGGCTTGGCCCTGGCCGGTACTTGGATGGAAGGCCTCTAAGGAAGTCCAGGAGTGCCGGCAAACCATCTCTGAAGCATCTCTTGCCTTGAGGACCCCATGAGAGGTTCCCAGAGGTTGGCTGTGACTTGGCGGCACTTTCTACCACCACACTGGGGGGAGCCCAGACCTGTTCTTCTTCTCCTCACCATGGCGACCGTGGCGCCCCGGCTCCCTGGAATCCATGTTCAGCCTGGGCTCAGACATCACCCTTTTTGCCCACCTCTGTTCTGGGCAGGGGTCCTGGCTCCCTACCTCTGAGCGGGACACCCAGTGCACGATGCCGTTCTTTTCGTCGACGTGAAGCTGGCTCCAGTCCTGGCCTCCAGCGTGGCTGTTGTGGATGGAGAGCTCCTCTCTGCCAGAAGCCAGGCTCCAGAGGCGCAAGGTGTGATCCAGGGCAGCGGAGGCAGCGCGCGTCCCTTTCCCAAATATCCTCACGCACCTCACCTCAGCTACAGAACAGGAGGGGTGGGGGAAAGGAGATGTACAAAACCCCTCTGGCGTTTTTGCGGGAGGCAAAACCAGAGCCGGACTGGCCGACCCCAAACCCAGCGGGAGCAGTAATGGCATGGCTAAAACAAACAGACTGTATAACTCCTGTAATGGCATGGCTAAAACAGACTGTATAACTCCCGTGTGTCGGTCTATAACTGCTAGGTACAGCCAGTTGCCAAAAGAAAGATGCAACACGAAAGATGCCTGCAGCATTTGGCGGAGAACTAGATTTGCTCCGTGATGCTTCAAAAACTGCCAAGGTGGAAAACAAGAACTCTACAAGTATATTGTTTTACTAACTCTTTTAGTACTAATATGAAGTTTAACATAAAGGGGGTCTCCCATTCTTGGGTTTTTAGTTAGTGTGGGTATCTTTCCTTTATCTATAGTTTTAGTTCCACCTTCCTATATTTTTCTTTGTAGTTTGTAGTCATATTGGAAAAAATAAAAATACCCCTCCGGGGGTTTAAAAGAAAAACAAAACTGCCAAGGGGGCGTGATGTTGTAAAACCACCTTGCTATAAGGGTGAATCTCTGGATCTGCAATGCTTGGAAGAGGTTTGGACGAGCAGATGAGCAGCCTCCTATGACACATGGTAAGATAGTCTCAGAAAGAAAAACCGAGAGGCTTCTCTATTGGTAGGGAACCTCCCCTGGGGGCTGCACCAGGCATACTGAGCCTCTGTGCAATGAACTCCTCCCCCAGGCCCCCTCCTGGCCATTGCCCCCTCCTCACGCTGAACTTCTTCCTGGGATGGAGAGGGAAAGCCAGGGCCCTCGTCCCCTGGGCTACTGCCCTTGGAGACTTGCATGCACGTGCCCAGCTAGGACGGGGATGTCATCAGCTGTCCTGAGGAACAGGCAGGGTAGCAGGGCAGGTGTGTGGCTGATCTGTCCCTCTGTGGCATCCCAGGTCCCTACCAGAGTGACCCGTGAGGACATGCAGCACCGAGAGATCTCCCGTGTCCCACACGATCATGGAGCCGTCCCGAGAGCCGGCCAACAGTACCCTGTGATCCGGGCTCAATTCCAGCACGGTGGTGCCTGAAGGAAGAGAAGGGGGGCAGCTGTGGCAGGTGGAGCAAAGCCAGGCCCACTGGAGAGATGGTTGGGCTGGAATCCAGAAGGGCTCTGGGTTCTGATCAGAGTTCCCTCTAAGCTGAGTCGGTGTGAGCGAGCTCACAGTTTTTTAGCCTCCGGCTCACACTTTTTTGTCTTGGCTCGGGGGGGGCGGCTCCAGAGCAAACTAATTTATGCAGTAGCCAAATTGCTCGCTCACAACTTTAATGCCAGTCGCTCACAAAGTCGAATTTTTGCTCACAAGACTCCACAGCTTAGAGGGAACATTGGTTCTGATCTCTGTGAAATGGGGATCATAAGTAGCCCTCGATTGCTACTGCTGGATAGATAGGGAACGGCGGTCTGGCCATCAAGTGGAAAAAGTCTTACCTTTGGGGGATCCAGTAAGCGTTTTCCGCAGAGGTCCTTCTGGTGGGTAGAGAAATCCACAGAGAGGGATGAAGACTGGGTGGGGTCGGGCACCAAGCCAGTTCTCGCACTGCTGGCACAGGTTCCCGATGAGGCTGGGGTAGGAAGGCACCAGGAAATCGAGCCTTGCCAACACTTCTGTGCAGATAATGCTCAGTTCTGGAGAAGGAAAGGCCCTCATGAAATGGGACGGGAGACAACAAATCCTACCCACTCAGGAGCAAGCAGAAGAAAAGCAACTTGCAGGTTGCGAGGAGCAGGAAAAGTTTGAGCGCTCTGTCACGGATGACTGCCCCTCTTTCTGTTTTTCATTTTTTAAAGAGCAAGTGTAAAGAAAACAGTCCTGAGAGTCTGACCCACAAATCAAGCAGTCAACAAGACTTGCAAAGAAAATGCTTACTTTACAGTCTGAAGCACTACAACACAATAAATCAATTCCTACAAACCGTAAGAAAATCTTAGTGCAAATGTACATCCAGGGGTCATTTCGTAGAAAAAGAGGTGCAGGAGCTCATTAGCATAGCTCATTAGCATGACTTATGTGCATATGCCACACCCCCTGACATCACTGGAAGTATGTCAGAACAGAAGGGAACACCCACTGCTCAGGCTCCACTGGACTGTTTTGGATTGCTAGCTATTAGGGGGGGGGGGAACGTGCAGATCTGTCCTCGCAGAGGAGGGAGAGCTTGTACCTGAATAAAACTTGGTCTTAAAGGTGCCACTGGACTGTTTTGGGCCGGGGGGGCAGGGGGGAGCTCTGCAACTTACCTGGCTGCTTCTTGCTCTGACTGAGGGCTGCTGGGAGCAGGGGGTGGGGCTTGTTGCATGTGCCCGCCCTTTGGGCTCTTTACTGCCAGAGCTCCGCTCCTGTGCGCTCCTGCAGGAAATGACCCCTGGGTACATCATCGTCGTCGTCTCCGGATTATATAACAACGTAAGTAAGTAAATTTATTACAGTCATTGACCAGTACACAGTAAAAGAAGTAAAACCCCAAACTTAAAACATTTCTGTCCCCTGTACAGGAATATAATATTTGTAAAATACATAAACAAACCACTAATAACCTAAAATATTAAGTGATATAACTTACATTACTTATAAAACCATCTCTAAAATATCAATTTATCCATATTTTCCTCAGCTTAATTGCCAGCTAACCATACTTAGCAATTTTGAAGGTCACATCTTTGTTTCTATCAGCGAGCATTTTCTTGAGGAGACTTTTTTGATCTTTCCCTGGGAAACTAGAAATTACTGGTACTACCAATGCCTCCCGAATCTGTTTATAGATTTTACAGTAAAAAATTACATGGCTTAATGTCTCCACACTCCCCTCCCCACATGGGCATAGGCATTCTTCTAAAGGGGTCTTCTTACATTTGCCTTCCAGTACTGCAGTAGGCAGCACATCATATCAGTAGAGTGAAAGTCCTCCTATAATTTGGATTCTCTAAACTGTTAACATAAGGCATCAATAAGGGTGTTCTAATCAACAGGCCAGATATCGCGGGGGGGGGGGGCTGTTTGCCCCAGAGCGAACTACTGCGCGGCAGCCGGATCAAACGTCCCGCCCGACGTCCCGTGGTTGGGGGGAGGTGTCGATCATACCTCACTCCTGCGGCGCAGCAAAGAAGCGGCGCCGCGGGGGTTGTGTTTTTTTTTTAACCCAAGTGTTTGCATGCGCCGTTGGGTGCTTGTGCGCACCTGTGGAGACTTGACAAAAACAAAAGTTTTCTTGACGGGACATGGGTGGACGCCGGATGTCACGAGCTAACACCGGAAACGTGATCTGATGCCCGCCCTTGCCCCGCGGTTTCTGGAAACTAGTACCTCGGAGGTACTAGTTTTTTACAGCGCATCTTTGGAGTGAAGCCTCGGGTGAGCCACAGGAGCTCTACGCTTCCCAGATGTGGCGGTGAGATCGCACCCGGAAAATCCACCTATCTTCCGTCTCTCTAGCGTGCCTAATGCTCCGTGTGACCGGGGCCTATATCACTTTTCAATCTATTCAGATCGTGTTGTCTTTCAACATCTAGAATCCTTTGTTTTTTTACCACAGACCTCACTTGATCCTGATGCATAGACAACAGATACTGTTCTGATAGTCCATAATAACCTAATTTCTTTCTCAGTATAATGAGCCATGGTGATGTAAATTCATCTTTTAAAATCAAATGAGCAATCCCATACTCGGCGTAGGCTATTTTCAACCAATATCTGAAAACTACTATCCACATCCTAGCTTCTACCATCACCATTCCTGCCTCTATTCTAATCGCTGCATTTGATACATTGGGTGGGTGGAGTTCGAAAACCTGCCCTTAGGAATTTGGACTGGACCCTCTCCATCAATATCATATTTGAACTAATACTAAATGGAGCTGCGTATAACATTTGCATTAAGGGTTTCATGGTAAAAAGCTTAATAGCTGCTGCCACTTCACTCTATTCAGATCGTGTTGCCTTTCGACATCTAGAATCCTTTGTTTTACCACTGACCTTGCTTGATTCACATGCATAGACAATAGATACTGTTCTAATATCCCATAATAACCTAGTTTCTTCCTCAACATGTACCTGCTCTATCTTATTCTTATTAATGTACCATGTATAAGTCCTTGGTGGTTTCGCAAAAGATATTATTTTTGTTTGATCATAATTAATTTCTAACTGATTTTGCTGACAATACTTGTGGAGTGTATGTAATGCTCTCTGAAGATCAACTGGGGTCCTCGAGAGAAGCACTGTATCATCCGCATATAAGAGGAGTGCTATATGTTTGTTTGCTAACTTGGGGGGGGGTGTGCTCCAATTGATTTAAACATCCAGCAAGATCATTTACATAAAAATTAAATAGCGTGCCAGAATGCATCCTTGTTTCACCCCTTTCTCAGCTCTAATAGGGGCTGTTAGATGTCCTTGCATGGTACATGTAGTGTTCTTACATAATGCTTGAATCAGAAACAAAAGGCGTCTATTCAATGTTGAAGCTTTTAATTTATCCCGTATAATCTTTCTTGATATTGAGTCAAAGAGCCTCAGAGGATAAACAACAGGATATCCTAGTGAAATATACTGCTAGAACAGACAAATCTATTTATATAACAACGTTTCAAAATTGGATCTTCCTCAGGAAATGTTAGAGTAGTACAGAAGTTCTCTTGCTCATAAAGTGCTTTACAAGAAGTCATGAAAGATAATACATTCAGATAGGACACTGATCTCAGTAAATGTTCAGGGTCAAATATGCTGCTAAGCTTCTAATGGATCCTAGGCATCTCACTCATGAGAGTACCTTTGGGCTAGGATTTTCTTATGGTTTGTAGGAACTGATTTATTGTGTTGTAGTGTTTCAGACTGTAAAGTAAGCATTTTCTTTGCAAGTCTTGTTGACGGCTTGATTTGTGGGTCAGACTCTCACGACTGCTTTCTTTATACTTGTTCTCTGATTAGGTCGTGTCTGTCCGCATTTGTCTTGTTTCATTTTTAAAAAACATTGCCAGGGCTCTGTGTGTCTCGTGTTGTTTGCCCTTCCCTGGCATACTGGAATGATGCATTCAGGCTCTGCTTACACACACACACACACACCCAACATCCCTGACTTGAACGCAGAACCCATTACCTGCCGGGCCCTCCGTGTTGCTCAAGACAGGCTGCAGGAGCAGGAAGAAGTTTTGTAGGAGCTGCAGCTCTGGGCAGCTGGTATGCGCAAGGTATGCCTCGATGTCCTCGGCCAGGCTCTCCACCCCAGAAACGACAGCCTTGCAGGCGACCCAGTTCACGTTCCCTGCCAGAGAGAATCCGGAGAGGGAGGAAGAGATCGTGGAAGCTGCCCGTAGAAGGCCTGCCCCAGCAGGCAGCAGCATCCAGCTTGGGAGGAAGGGGAATTAAGGCTGGCAGTAGTAGGTGACAAGCAGAAGAGTGGCTTCCCAGGCCCAGCCATCCACGTGACTGTTTGGGGTGGCACAGCCAGCAGTAGCATTCCAAGGGCGGGCATCCCCTCGTGGGTCCACACACCAGCTTGGGCCAGGCTCAGGAGTGCCGCAGGGGCTTGGCATGAGCCCAGGCAGTGATGGGGGGGGGGCGGCCTGAGACGACAAAATACCTTCAACCACCACCTCCCATCTGCATGCAGCCGTCGCCCAGTGGAACTCAGCCCAACATGGCAATTGCCAGCCCTCACCGAAAATGTCTCGTTGCAGCTCCTCCAGCCGTCCTGCCCGCAGCAAATGGAAGGGCAGTTCGTTCAACTTCCTCTGGTTGGCTGTCGTGCCGGAGAACCACAGAGGCTGAGGAGTGACCTGCAACAAAGGGGATTCGTGTTGCTTGCTGGGAAGAGACTTCGCCTGGGCTCCTTCCTGCCCCGTCTGGCTTTTGCCCACTCCTTGCCCCACGTCCAACTCTAGGGCTTCACCTTCCTGTCAATGCTCACAGGCTTGCTCGAGGATGGGAGCTCCACCGGCTTCTTCATGCCCCAGCTCCAGGTCCCCCTAAAGAAGTCAGCCAGGATTAGGTGGCACCGGGTTCTTTCCTCTGGAGCAAACAAGTAGCGTCCTTCTACAACCGCTGCAAACTCCCTGGAGAAAAAGAAGAGATTGGATTTATACCCCACCCTTCACTACGCAAGGGAGTCTCAGAGCGGCTTACAAACTCCTTTCCCTTCCCCGCCCCACAACAGACACCCTGTGAGGTAGGTGGGGCTGAGAGAGCTCTTGATAGAAGCTGCTCTTTTTCAAGAAGAAGAAGGAGGAGGAGGAGATTGGAATTATACCCCGCCCTTCACTACCCAAAGGAGTCTCAGAGCGGCTTACAAACTCCTTTCCCTTCCCCACCTCACAACAGACACCCTGTGAGGTAGGTGGGGCTGAGAGAGCTCTGACAGGAACTGCTCTTTTTCAAGAAGGAGGAGGAGGAGGAGGAGGAGGAGATTGGAATTATACCCCACCCTTCACTATCCAAAGGAGTCTCAGAGCGGCTTACAAACTCCTTTCCCTTCCCCTCCCCACAACAGACACCCTGTGAGGTAGGTGGGGCTGAGAGAGCTCTGACAGAAACTGCTCTTTTTCAAGAAGAAGGAGGAGGAGGAGGAGGAGGAGATTGGAATTATACCCCACCCTTCACTACCCAAAGGAGTCTCAGAGCGGCTTACAAACTCCTTTCCCTTCCCCGCCCCACAACAGACATCCTGTGAGGTAGGTGGGGCTGAGAGAGCTCTGACAGGAACTGCTCTTTTTCAAGAACCGCTGTGCCAGAACTATGGCTTGCCCAAGGTCATCCGGCCAGGTGCAAGTGGAGGAGTGGGGAATCAAACCCGGTTCTCCCAGATTAGAGTCCGCACACTTAACCACGACACCAGACTGGCTGTCATGGAGGGGAAAGGAACAATTCCCGACAACCTGTGGTGGCCTTGGAGGGAAGGAGCAACAGCCGCAGCCACCTTCACGAGGCTCTTTACCTGTGTCCAAAGCCCACCAGGAGGAAGCCGTCAGCCCACCTCTCCTCCAGCCATTTTGCCAAGTCCTGGTACAGCCGTGCCCATAAGAGGGGCGGGACACGCAGGACTGCCATGCTTGGAGGAGGACGGAGCTGGTAAATCTCACAGACGACCTCATTGTCAAGGGACAGGATGTCTTTCAGCTCTGTCTCTGACAGGCCAGACCTAGGGGAAGGAAAGCAGCGCCAGAAATTCTCTCTTGCTCTGGCAGCTCTTTGGGAGCCAGACCAGATATAGCCCCTCCCCGGCCTCATCAGTTCATACATCTCTTGCCAATCACCCCAAACAAGTTCACTATGTTCCCAGACCCTTTCTGCAGCAGTGCCCAAATCTTGGCTTGACAGTGAGCCATCCCCTACTTACCGGGAGCAGGCCAGGTAGCTCAGGGCGCGCTTCACCAAAATGGGGCCGTGGACCTGTTCCAGAAACCCACAGAGGCGATGTGCCTCCTCTGTGGCTGAGAGTGAAACTGCCTGCGCCAAGGGTGGAGTGCCTGAAGCCCATCGCTGGGCTTCGGCGATGGCCAGTGCCACCGGCAGGGCAAGCCCACCTTCTGGGAAACTTTGCTGGAACAAAGCCTGCTGGGCAGGGGTGACTGTCCGCCCTGCAGCAGCCAGATGTTTGGCCAGTGCCTCTCCAGCTTCCTCCTGGGAGAGAGGCCCCATCTCGAAACAGTCCTCAGGCCCTACGAGGACCTGGTGCAGAGCAGGATGTTCTGCCAGCAGAGTGGAGAGTACGAGGTGCACCTTCGGAGGGCAGATCTTGGGCAGCCAGAAGGCCGGATGGGCACCTCTGGGCATGCCCAGCTGCTCCATGGAGTCCAGGAGAAGAATGAGGGGCTTCGTGCCCTGGTGAGAGACTTGGAGAAGGAGGTGGCGGAAGAGCAAGACGGGGTTGCCTGCACCCTCTGAGTGAGGAGAGGGCAGGCCCAGAGCCAGGCTCACTTGCAGGCAGATGCTGTGGAGCAGGCTGTCGAGGGAAGAGCTGAGCTGGGAGGTCCCCAGCAGCCGCAGCACCACCAGCGCCCCCGGCCCCAGGACGGCCTGCGCAGCCCGGCTCAGGTGACACAGCAAGGTTGTCTTCCCACAGCCCGGCGGCCCTCGGACAACGAGCGGGGCATGGGCCTGGCTTGCATCCTGCTTCATGCGCAGACAGATGCGGTCCAACAGTGCCCCCTGCCAGCAGAAGGCCTGGCTCTTCTCGTGTCCGAGAGACTGGTGGTGGGCCAGCTCCTGGAGTAGACGGCGTGGTTGCCCGTGGCCACCTTCTTGGGATCGCGGGATCGCCAGCACGTGCTGACTGGTGGCAGCAGAGAACTGTTTGCAGAGTTCCTTCAGGTACTTGGACCGTGGCTTGTGCCAGAGGTAGGCGGGGTCCCAGCTGCGTGGGACCGTGTGCATCTTGAGCTGCTGGGGGTGCAGGGCTGTGATTTTCCCCTTCAGGGCTGCCAACATCTGCTGGTCCTCAGAGTCTGGGGCACCATCTGCCTCCTTCTCCCCCAGCTGTGGGCTCTCGCCACCTAACTGGGGCACCATGAGGTCCTCGGCTTCCCTGAAGAAAACGAGTGCACCCAGGCCAGGGTCTCCAGCGCTGAAGAGGCCAGCCTCGATCTCCCGGTGCATCTCTGTAAAGGACAGGGCAGGGGGAGAGCTGAGCGGGTAAATGAGAAAGGAAAGGAGGAAAGGAAGAACACCCACAGACACACACCCCCCCCAAGGCCCCAGACAGAATTTCCAGACTCTGGAATTGACGACAGTGCAGCAAAGATTTTTGTACAGGGAAATGTCACTACAAGGTCCTTGACATCCTTCTGACCCCAGCTACTCAGAGTATAATACCACAGAGTCCACCGTTTTTCTCCAGGGGAACTGATCTTGGTAATCTGGAGATCAGTTGTACTTCCAAGAGATCTCCAGGTTCCTCCTGTGCTGGAATGATACCTGCACATCTATGAGCACAATCGTTCCGTCAGCAGTTGCGTTGCTTGTGGCCCGGACCATGCGAGACCTTTTGCCATGTGTCTGGTTGGGGGGGGGGGTCTCCTGACTGGACTCCTGACCCTTCGCCCCACATGGCACCTGCAGGGAACTTGATCGCCCAAGCCCCGCAGGGCCCATTTCCGATTGGGACGGTGCTGGTGGGGAATTCAGCCTCCACCCTTGTGTCACTTTCACAATCCAAAACAGCTTCAGCATTGAGATCTCCAGGTTCCTCCCGTGCTGGAATGATACCTGCACATCTACGAGCACAATCGTTCCCTCAGCAGTTGCGTCGCTTCTGCTGTGCCCCGGACCATGCGAGACCTTTTGCCATGTGTCTGGTTGGGGGGGGGTTCTCCTGACTGGACTCCTGACCCTTCGCCCCACATGGCACCTGCAGGGAACTTGATCTTGAACTTGAACTTGGTGGGGAATTCAGCCTCCGCCCTTGTGCCACTTCTTTCACAATCCAAAACAGCTTCAGCATTGTTATTGCACCCAGTGGGGGCTGCTGCATGTGCACCCTCGCCTTATAGGTGGGCCTGGAGGTCTTCCAGTATTACAGTTGGTCTCCAGACAATAGAGACCAATTCCCTGGAGGAAATGGCTGCTTTGGAGGGTGGAGTCTATGGCCCAATCTGCATCCGGCATTTGCTCCGCTGTTATACCAAACCCACACTGGAACAGAAATTCCCCGTCTACATTGCATGCCACTTTCATTTTGACTGAGTGTCGCATTTTATGGCAGTGTCCAGACTGCATGCCGGCTTTCACTTCGTTTGATCTCTGGTTTTATTGTGGCTGTCTGCATAGATTTATGGCCGTTTTATGGCCATTGGGGGGGGGTTTACTCTGCAGTCAGTACGGTGTTGGCCCGGGGTAGTTGAACGTGGTTTTGAACTGCATCTTCTTCTGTTCCAGTGTGGGTTTGGTAAAACAACTGAGCAAATGCTAAATGCAGATTGGGCCAAAGGCATTATGCCCAATGAGTTCCTTCCCCAAGCTCCACCCCCCAGAGTTGGCAACCCTAGGCTTGCTAGGAGGGCAAAAAGTGCCCCTTGGGACCATTTTGTGTCAGGACAACAGCAGGGGGTGGGGAAGGGCTGATGACCCCTCGCTCTCCGGCACCACAATCCTGATCCACATTGGGCCCTGTGAGACTTGTGAAAAGTTCCTCACACCTGTTGAGCGGCTAGAGGGAGATGCAACTTGGGTCACAAGAACCTGGATCCAAATTGTAGATTTTGGGATTAGGTGCCTTTTGCACACACCTCGGCTCCTTTTCTGCTCACAGCAGCAAGCAGATTAGCAACGGGAATCCAAGAATCAAACAACTGATCCCTCACCCCCCAGCCAGGCAAGATCCTGCTCTTGGTTTGTTTAAAAATCATTCCTGTTCAGCCAAGTCTTCAGTCTCCCAGCATCTATCCTTTAGCCTTGTGCTCCTTTTCTCTTTCACAGCATGGGCACTCAGTGAAATTGCTGAGCAGTCGGGTTAGAAAGGATAAAAGGAAATACTTCTTCACCCAAAGAGTGATTAATTCACTGTCACAGGAGGTGGCGCGGCTACAAGCACCGAAGGCTTCAAGAGGGAATTAGATAAACATATGGAACAGAAGTCCATCAGTGGCTATTAGCTACAAGGTATAGATAGGAACTCTCGTCTGGGGCAAGTGATGCTCTGTATTATTTGTGCTGGGAAGGGGGGGCAACAGTGGGAGGGCTTCTAGTGTCCTGGCCCCACTGATGGACCTCCTGATGGCACACGGTATTTTTGGCCACTGTGTGACACAGAGTGTTACACTGGATGGGCCTTTGGCCTGATCCAACATTGGCTTCTCTTATGTTCTTCTGTGTCTGTGGGGCCCTGGGTTTCAGCCACACAGGGTTTGGAGCAACTGTCGAGAACATGTCTGGAGGTCCACTGGGCAGCAACAGAACTCCTTCGTCCACAGCTTTAGAATCACACCTGATTGATGGAGAAGCTGGTGCTGCTCCCCACTGATGAGTCCGTGCCTTTCTGCTTCCCGGGCAGCCCTGCGCAGGGCCAGGAGGACGCTTTTCTCTTGGGCAGGGCTGGCCTGGGGTGGGCGGTGCAGGACGTAGAGAGGAGGGACAGCATTCTCATCCTTCTGGTACCACTGGGCCAGGAGCTGCAAGGTGTGGGGCTCCCCCAGGAAGTGAGCCCTGAAGACCTCGAATTCCTGGTCCTTGATGGTCAGGGGGGCAGGACAGTGACCGTACTGATTGCCCAGCAGTGCCTGTGGTGGGGAGAACAGTTCTCAGCCAGTAAGCCAGTTTCCCTGGTCCTGGCTTGATGTGGTCCTTCAGACTCCTAAGGACAAATTACTTTGTTGGACTTCACAGAAGCTTTGTGAAAACCTTTATGTTCTCCCCTTACCCCCCTCTACTGCCTCGGCGGGAAGGAAGGGAGGGGTGTAAATTGAATTAATAAATAAAGTAAATAAAATCACACGCCTCCCTGTCATTCCGAGCACGTGGCACCCCACAACAGCTTCCTGTCTGTGCCCACTGGGAAGGGTTGCCAACTCTGGGCTGATTTCTGGATATTTGGGTGGTAGAGCCTGGGGAGGGACCTTACTGGGGTAGAAGGCCACAGACCAGAGTCTCCAAAGCAGCCCTTTTCTCCGGGGGAACTGATCTCTGTAGTCTGGAAATCAGTTGTGATTCTGGGAGGGAACTCCAAGCCCCACCTGGAGGTTCTAATGCAATATAGGAGAGAACCAGAGAGATGGAGCTCACAGGGCTATTTTTGGGCAGGAACTCAAAGGAACGGAGTTCCGGCTGGCTCCTGAGTTGGCCACGCCCAGCAGGAACTCATTAGCATAATAGGCCACACCCAACAGCAGAGACTCATTAGGATTGGCTACATTAGGGGTATGTGGCCTAACATTCAAAGGAGTTCCTGCTACAAAAAAGCCCTGGGTTTTGACAACAAACAAGGTAAACAGAATAAGAAGCAAAAAGTGGGTGTGGCTGGATGACCACACTTCTGGTAACATGGGGGTGCGGCCTAATGTGCTAATTGGGTGTGGCCTATTATGCTAATGAGTTCCTGCTGGGCTTTTTCTACAAAAAAAAAGCCCTGTGGAGCTATATAATCCAAACAAAAATAGTGGTTATATTAACGAAGTACATATTTCAACATTGTTAAAGAGTGCAATCTCAACAGTTCATAAGTATAAATATACATTCATATAGTGCACGGCCCACAAAGTCATCATTGAGCAGCCACCATAAGAGTGATGAGCAGAATAACATCTAAGCACTTTATGCTGGGAGCTGGAAACCCATCTGAAAGCATTCCTTCTGATTGAATTTTACCTGCCGCCAGCACTTTGTAATGTATTAATTTGAACTGTTATGTTTTAATTTGTATTATGTATGTTTTTATCATGTATTTATGTCATTGGAAGCCTGGTTTGCGGGGAGGGCGGGGTATAAATCTGACAATAAATAAATAATTAAAGGAAAAACTAATCTATTGTACATATCTACACAAAGATATGTGTAGGAGCTGCGGTGGCTCAAATGGTTAAGACGCTAAACAGAAATTGCAAGTAGATAATTGCAAGTAGATAATTGCAAGAAGATAATTGCAAGTAGTCCCCACTTCGGTGGGAAGATAACAGCGTTCCGTGCACCTTGGTGTTTAGTCATGCCGGCCACATGACCATGGAAACATCTTCGGACAGCGCTGGCTCTTTGGCTTGGAAACGGAGATGAGCACCGCAACCCTAGAGTCGGACTCGACTGGCTTTCGAGCAAGGGAACCTTTACCTTTACCTTTTTACACAAAGATAGATCTAGGTAGTCAGCTGTGTTGGTCTGAAGCAGCAGAACAAAGTTAGAGTCCAGTGGTACCTTTAACGCCAGGTTTATTCAAGGTATGAGCTTTCGTGTCTGCTGACAACATTACATCTAGCTCATGCGCCCTCTGTGCCTCAGAGGAGATAATTAAGATTCTCTGTTACTTCCCACAGTTAGAAAAAACACCTTTAGACATTTATCTGCTATTATGATATATTTATTGCTTTACAACTGTTGACCTTCTAGCCTTGTTATTTAAGCTGAATCTGCATTTGTCTTTCCCACCGGTGTCCCAGCCTTTTGACTCCGTCTTCAAAAAAGCTGTCTACATTTGGTGTCGTTTTCACACCTCAAGGGTGCTAGCATACTTTTGCACGTCCACATATGTTTATCGTCCTTTGGGGCGGCTCCACTGTCATTGCACCTCTGCACTGTTTTAAAAGAATCTTCTCCAAACAACATTCAAACAAGCATAGAGAAAGACAGCGTCACAGCAGCATGAAACTAATTTTAAAAATGCAAATGCAGAATCAACCTTAGTTTTCCACTTTGCATAACTTAAACATCATCATGTTACATGTTAATTTGCTGTTAAATCCCTGTCTATAAGTTTAGAACTTATATTTGAATGTATTTGAAAAAGTGTTCCTTGCACACAAAAGCTCACACCTTGAATAAACCTTTGTTGGTCTTAAAGGTGCCACTGGACTCTAAATATCTACACAAAGAATGGATGGAAACCTTTGTGAAGATATGAATATTTTCTGTGCCATGTAAGGATGTTCTTATGATGTGTGTAGTGATTATCCATCTGTGAAGAAGCCTTGGTGATACGGCATTTAGGCTAGCAATCCCGTGGATGGAATATTGCTTTCTATCTGCCGAAAATGTTTGGATAGAGTTATTTGGATAGAACTACTTGGAAGCAGGTGAGTACTTGAGAGAAAGCAGCCTAAAACAATTTGTATATCTTGTCTACAGAAGCACCTTGAAGTCTGTACACTACGACCAAGAATGACAACAGTCTACTATCTTGAAAGAAGTACTTTAATTGTTGGCACAGCACTTCATTCCTTCCTCTCTTTGAAGATTAGAGTCTTGGACTATTAAGCGTCTATGAGATTGCCTGTGGTTTCCATTACAGTGTGATTGGATTGTACAATATATGAGTTTTCCCTTTACTATGTGAATGTGCTTATGATCTGTTGACATTGCACTCTTTAATGCTGTTGAAATATATACTTCGTTAATATAACCACACTTTTTTGTTTGGATTACAGAGCCCCACCTGGAGGTTGGCAACCCTGCCTCCCAGACCCAGCACTTCCCTCCACAACCCTCTCTGTCCCTCACCCCCTTTTACCTCTGGGCTTAAGACACCCCTGGCTGACTCCTCCCTTTGTGCCTCCCAGAACATCTGTGTGATGCTGGTTCTTTCACTTCCATCAAATCCCTCCTCAAGCCCACCTTTTCCACAGAGGCGTTAGTGTTCAGTGCATAGGCAGCCCCACAATAGACTGAACAACATCCCACTCCCAGGGGCATTTTCGCTCAGGAAAAGGGTGCCTGTCCTTCCCCCTGTGCTGTGATCTCATGCTTAATAGGGCCACAGCTGCCGTGAACCTGGACCCAACTTAATAAAAGACCTAATGTGTAGATTAGCCTTTCCTGTGGTGGCTGTGATCCACAGTCACCCAGGCGCTCGGCCAGTTTATAGGGAGTCACATGTAACCCAGGTGTTGGAAATAAGGGCAAGGCAACTATTTATCACAACAAGGAAAATACAGTTCTGCACACAGGGTATTGTACTTCCCAACCGCAAACTCCTTTTCCTTCCTGAATAGAAATATTGATTTCTAAAAGTCCATGCCTTCTCCTGTGATTACATTCTGATAACATGCTGTGTCTTATTTCCTCTCGCAGGCCAAATGGCCGACCATTTGGCCAGAGAAACTTTATAACCATGCCATATAACCACACATTCTTTCACACTTCTAAGGGAAGAGGCAGACCTGATGGTCTCTGGCAGACCTGGCTCTGCCTCACTTGCAAAAAGTCACGTCAGCAATGGAGAAGCTGGAGTTTGGGGTCATGTGACTGCAGGCGTGGTCTCAAAAGTTCTAGCCAATCCTATGTTGCAGCTATGACAACCAACAATTGGGCACACCCATGCCCACTCGCAATTGGCTAATAGCCACATCTAATTTGTGACTGGAATTGGCCTATAATTGTTCAATCCCAATGAGAGAGAGTTCTGTTCTTGCTCTCTTGGTCTCCTGTTGTTGCCTGTTTATTGCACCTGCTGTTCTTTGAAGAGACAAAGGACTGCTTTGGGACTTAAAGCACATGGAGTGCAAAAATGGGATTTCCCTTCAAAATCCCTTGGACTATCTTGGATTATTTTGGATTGTGGAATGTTACTGAAGTGGTAATTATGTATCTTTTACTGTGTAGTTATGTGCCCAGCGTAATTACGTCACTTCCAGGCGATGTCATCAGGGTGCGCGAACGGGTCCAGGTCCCCCCCGCTTTGCCAGGTAAGAGACTTGGCAACCCTAGTCCTTGGAGAGACAAACAACTAGGCCTCCCTTTGCTCCACCCCCTCCCCAGGACGATTTTTCCCCAGTCACTCTCTACACACACTCCACCCAATAGCATATATCCCCAAAGTTCTACACACAGATGGTACTTACAACAAAGCTGGGACCCACAGATAGTGATTGACAGCGTCTGATCTCCTCCAGAAGGAGTGCTGTCGTAGCCATATGGCCAGTGTCCATGTCATGATGTATGCCCCATCTCAGATCAATCATCTAGATTTGGGAGTGAGTGGTGAGAATTAGCAGTTGACCCAGTCTTCTAAGAATGCAAAACAAAACTGACCATCTCCTAAAAGCTAGTACTAATGGAGCTCTCCTTTTTGTGTGTGTCTTGCTCTCTTGTTGGAGCTGGTCCAGTCACAGTCCCTCAGAAGCAGGCCTCCAGTGAAAAGGACACACAGCCCCTCAGAACCAGACCCCCAGTGGGATGGAAACACAGCCCCTCAGAAGCAGGCCTCCAGTGGGAAGGGAAGTTCTCAGGGCCTCTCTCCTCACCATCCGAGAGAAGGAATCAGCATCAGTTCAAAGTCAGATATGTCTGGGGACTGACCTCCTCCAGAAAAAGTGTAGTCTATCAAGGAAGGGCCCCCACCAGACAGAAGCTTCTTCAGCTGAGGCCTTTCAGCAATCCAGTCCTTGGTAGGGCTGCCAAGTTCCCCCAGGGGGCGGGGATTCCCCCACTGAAAGGGCCCCCAATCTGCTGGTCCTGATCCGGCCAGTGGGGGAACCCCACCCCCAAAGTGGCCAGATCAGGCCGACGTGCCCAGCACGGAGGTCATGCCTACAGGTTTTTTTTGGGGGGGGCACCTGGCTTACCTCAAACATCAAACCTTGTTTTTGGCAGAAGGCTTGCACCTCTGGGTAGGCGACCTCCATGAGTGCATTCCTCTCAGCGGCTGAGTCTGCAAGGAAAGAGCAAGGCTGAAGGAAAGGGCCTTCCATAGGTTTCCGTCGGCTCCAGATGGCTTCTCTGCAAGGCCCTCCAAAAGTATCCAGTGCGCCTTGTCTTCTGGGGCCCAGGCTTGCATGCCAGAGGAGCACACTGAGAACAGGGCAAATTTTCTATAGGGCCACTCCCCTGCAGAAATTACATTACCTCTCTTGGCTCTACACCACAGGACACATCGGCATCCTGGTTTCTACAGAAGTCATAAAATTGATTCCCCAGTAAAAAGGTAAAGGTTCCCTTGCTCGAAAGCCAGTCGAGTCCGACTCTAGGGATGCGGTGCTCATCTCCGGTTCCAAGCCGAAGAGCCAGCGCTGTCTGAAGACGTTTCCATGGTCATGTGGCCGGCATGATTAAACACCAAGGCGCACGGAACGCTGTTACCTTCCCACCGAAGTTGTACCTATTTATCTACTTGCAATTTCTTGCTTTCGAACTGCTAGGTTGGCAGGAGCTGGAACTAGAGATGGGAGCTCACTCCGTCATGTGGCACACTCGGGTCTCGAACTGCTGAACTACCGACCTTCCACAGCCTGCAGTTCAGCGTCTTAACCACTTGAGCCACCGCAGCGCCGATTCCCCAGTAAGGTAGACCAAATTGTGCCTCTTGTGTGCATGCAGTGTGTACTTGTTTTTTGGGGGGGAGGCACACATCTGGGAGCCCTTGCCAACTACTTCATTGTTGTCACCCACCCTGAGCCCACTTGCGGGGAGGGCAGGATACTAATTTAAATAAATGAATTAATAATAAACTACGGGCCCCACTTGGAGGTTGGCCACCCTAGCCAGTGTACCTGCCAGCCCTACCCTCGCAACAGCCCCAAAAGGTTAGCCAGAGACCGGTGGAGCTGCAGATGACTGAGGCCTGAGGAGAGGACAAAGGCACAAGAAAGAGAGCAGGAACTCTCTCCAGGCCCGTAGCTAACGTGGGGCCCGTGGGGCCTGGCCCCCTAACGTTTCTTCCAGGGCCCCCAAACTGAGTCTTGGCTTCTCCTTCCCCTAAGCTCCACAGTAGCTACATGTCTGACGGTGAAATGGAGGCTGCATGGGATCACAGGGAAGTCATTGCGTGAGACAAGGCACAGGATTCCAGCTGTGCACTCCACAGCTCTGAAGTACACTGGTCTGTCGATCAGCCCCATCTGAACCAGCACAGTCTGGGCCGGGAAGGAAAGAATGCACATAGCTCCATACAGACATATAATGGCTGGCCCCCTAGGCCAAAAATTGCCCTCCCCCAGCAAAACGTTGCTAGCTACGGGCTGCTGAAGCCCCAGAGGGGATGGGTGTGAGGGAGGCCGGTAAATGGGGGGGGGGGGCGATGGAGGTGCTGAGGCCGAGTGCAGGCTGCCTGGGGCGCAGTCGCCAGGAAGCCCCCTGAACTAAACCACTCCTGCACTGTTTTGAAATTCTCTGAACCTTCCAGCTGCATTGCCAGGACAGTCTGTTATAGCCCAATTATGAAATCTATGTCTTGTGGCATCTTCACGAGCAGCTGGGTATCTGTGGGAGGCAGGTTTCTCCGTGGGGAAATCCTGCACAGCGGCCTCCCAGCCACAGTCAAGCAGCTGGTCTTGAAGGGGCCGTGCAGCCCCGTTAGTTTCCCTGCAGAGAGCTGCCGTGGGGCATCCCGTATGGGCCGGAAACCCACTGTTCTGCTCTGACCATGGCTGCTGGCTTCACCCAAGGAGCTCCCCCCCCCACACCCTACGCCTGACTGAGGACATGAGGGTAGGGTTGCCAGGTCTGGGTTGGAAAATACCTGGAGACTTTGGGGGTGGAGCCAGGAGAGGGCGGGGTTTGGGGAGGGGAGGGGCCTCAGCATAGTACAATGCTATGGTGTCCACCCTTCAAAGCAGCCATTTTCTCCAGGGGAGCTGGTCTCTGTCAGCTGGAGATCAGTTGTAAAAG